AACATGTGAAAAAAAAGTTGTGCTCCTACCTTACACCACATACAAAACTTAATGCAAAATGGATCAAAGGCCTACATTTTAGATCTAAAACTCTAAAACTCAAAAAGAAAACATAGGCATAAATTTTGTAATTTGGGGTTCAGCAATGGTTTCTTAGATACAATTAATAAAAACATAAAAAAAAGAAAGCTTCTGTTCTTCGAGAAAATGAGAAGACAATCTAATAAATGTGAAAATACATTTGTAAATTATACATCTGATAAAGGAGTAGTATTAAGAATATAAAGAACTATGAAACTTAATAAAAAGACAAATAACCCAATTTTTAAAATTTAAAGGTATTTGAATAAATATTTCTACTTTATTTTGACAAAGTATTTTATTTTAAATGAAAAAATTTTTTTTTGTATTGGCTTGTCAGAATGCCAGAGCCTCTACTTTTGCCTGCTTCCTTTTACCTGCTACTTTCATTCACTCATTTAACTGTATGTTGGGAATTCCACCAGGAATTAACAGGGTCAGAAAGAGGTCAAAATGAAATTGTTCGATTTTTCTACTTACTGGAAAAAAAGGCCCAGCCATTTAACAAAGTCAGGAAGTAATTGTTCAAATGTGTTTGAGTCATCATATTCACCCTGGTTAGCTGTGCCTTTCCTGTCACTCATGATAACAAATAGTTAAGATGTGAGTGAATCTTCTGAGCTATCTGTAAATCATAATGTAACTTGATATTGTCTTCATTGACAAAATTAAAATGTTATTTTTATTCTGTAATTGAAATACAGACTAAGTAATCAAAAGGGTTGCTTTTGCAAATGGAAAGTTAAAATGTTTGCTGTAAGTGTCTTTTATAATTATAGTATCTGTTATTGAAAGAGGCAATCATTTTCTGTCTCTGTGATTCCCCAGTTGTGGGCAAGATACAACTTGGGATAAGAGTGCGGCTCTGCAGTTGGGTAGATCTAAGTTTCACTTTTGGCTCCACAACCTTCTTTCTCTGCTGTAAAAAGTGAACATTATAATAATTTTATAACTGTGAGCTACACTTGTGAGATTAGTAAAATACTATATATGAAATGCTTAGAACAGGGCCTGGCATGGGGTGATTGCACAATAAATGGCAACAATAATCTTGCTATATATTATTACTGTGTATACCAAGGGCTTTAGAAACAAATATTCTAACTTCATTTATCTGTTGAATACAATTAACACTGAAAATTTGTTTTTACTTGAACAGTTAATCTGGTTATACACTTATGAGAAGACTTTAGTAAAATATTTTATTAAAGGAAAGAGATAAAAGATTGAATAAAAGGTCTTTGTAGGCTTTTTTCCAACATAGATGGGAATGGTCATAGATAAGGAAGTTATTTTTCAACATTTTCAACATTTGCAACTAAAATGTGAAAGAAAAAAAAGATTCAGGAAATTGCATCAGATTTCCTGAAACAAAGTTCATGGAACAAAAGTCATACACATCATTTTGTTTAGAAATGAGTTATCAGTACCCAACTTTCTCAGAGAAGGCAGTTGAATTCTTTTGCCTTCTTTAAGAAGGCAAACCACATGAGAACTGGGGTTCCTTATCCTGTTTAACAACAATTTTTTTTAAAAAACCCAAGTAATCTTATTTATATTTAAAAACAAAGAACCATTAGCTTTAATGTTTTTAAAAGTTTTTAAACCTCAGAGTGGGCACTAAAAAAAAAAGGTTTTAATATTGCCTCATATTTACCTTTACCGTTTCATTGGGTGATTTATTCTCAGGTCTTCATTTTGGATTATTAGGTTTATCAATATATTATATCTTATTTTTACTTGTTAACATTTAACTTGTAATTATACTATTTTCATAATATTTGTATATTCTTTGCCATGAAGTGATACTGATTTGCCATTTTTCGTATATAATTTTTGTAAAAAAATAGATGTAATTTTGAAAAAATAGAGTTGAAAAAGCTAAACTATATAACTTGTTAAATAAATAATAATAGCATCAAAGGGTATTTGGATGATAGAATATTTGGAAACACTATGGTATGATTCACTTTTAGAATCAAGTTTCAAGGCATTGTTTATTCTTGAATTTTTAGGCTTAAGGAAAAACACATTTAAAAAGTTACAATTATTCTTTCTACTCATTTAGCTTTATAACTAAATATCAATTTTAAGAACACTATCTCATTTTGCCTTTAAATTACTGGCAAGTTTGGTTATTATTTATTCAAACATCAAATGTGTGTTCATTTATTTTTCTTTCCAATCACTCTGATACTTGAAAGTAGGAACAGAAATGACCATGACAATAACTGCTCTCAAAGTATTTACTATTTGGTAGTGGAGGCAGAAGGCAGCCATACAAACATATAGCTGTAATGAAAGAAAGAATGGATTTTGAGCTATGATAGATATATAAGCAAAGTCTTGTGACCGTCCAACGGAGGTTAAGAAAAATAGTTATAAGTGAAACCAGAGGCAGGGGGAGGGGGAATTTGCAAGGCTAAAAGAGCTGGTGGCATTTGATCAGAGGCTTGAGGAATGAGTAGATAAAACTGTGGTAGAATAAAGAAGTCCAGATACACAAAAATATGCCAGCAAATTTCTGCAGTGAAGAAAATGTAGGATATGTTCGAAAGAATTAACACCGAAAAGCAAAAGATCTGATTAAAAAATGGGCAAAGAACGTGAACAGACATTTGTCCAAAGAGGACGTACAGATGGCCAATAGATACATGAAAAAGTGCTCAACATCACTAATCATCAGGGTAATGAAAATGAAAACCACAATGAGCTATCATCTCATACCTGTCGGAATAGCTATCATCAATAAATCAACAAATGAGTGTTGGCAAAGATGTGGGGAAAAGGGAAGTCTTGTGCACCCATTGTAGGATTATAAATTGGTACAGTCACTATGAAAAAGTGTGGAGATTCATCAAAAAATTAAAAATAGAAATACCAGATGACCAAGCAATTTCACTTTTGGGTATTTACCTGAAGAAACTCTAAACACTAATTTGAAAAGATATATGCGCTCATATGTTCATTGCAGTATTATTTATAAAGCCATGATATGGAAGCAAACTAAGTGTCCATCGATAGGCAAATCGATAAAGAAGAGGTGGCACATATATACAATGGAATATTACTTAACCATAAAAGGAAATGAAATAGTGCCGTTTGTGACAACATGGAGGGACCTAGAGTGTATTATCCTAAGTGAGAAAAGTGAATCAGAGAACGACAAATACCCTATGGTTTCATTTATATGTGAAATCCAAAAAACAAATTAAACAAATGAATTAAACAGAAACAAACTCATAGATAACAGAGAACAAATTGATGGTTGCCAGCAGGGAGGAAGGAATGGGTGAAAAAGATGAAGAAGTACAAATTAGCAGTTATAAAATTAGTCATGGGGATGTAAAGCACAGCATAGAGAATATAGTCAATAGTATTGTAATAACTTCGTATGATGCCAGATGAGCACTAGATTTATTGGAGTGATCATGTCGTAAGTTACATGAATGTCCAATCACTATGTTGTATACCTGAAACTAATATAAATTGTATGTCAACGGTAATTGAAAAATAAATTAACTAAAAAAAAAAAAAAAAAAAGCCTAATGTGGCTGAAACACAAAGACATGGAGTCAAAAATGAAGCCGTGAAAGAAAAACAAGACTGAATATCAAACTAAGTAGTTTAGATTTTATTCAGGGAATTTATTAAAGCAATGGGTTAGTGAAAAATTTGATCATTGCAGCTCTATAACATCACATGCTGCAGTTTATTTATGCACTTGGAACTGAGTCAGTTTTAGAGCTAATCCCTCTAAAGTCTCTTGGGAGAAGTAAATGCCAAGGCCAGAGGTCAGTTTCTCATCTTCAGAGCCACCCTTTCACATTTAGAAAAAAAAAAAAAAGGAAAGCTCGCTGCCAGAGTTCATTTAACATCATGTGTAGGAATGCTACATTTTCTAGGATTTAACATTTTCAGTGATCGAACTAATAAAAACAGAATGCTATAAATAGAATAATGTCATTTGTTTCCAAAGACTATCGTTATATTAGTGTGATGTGAACATGACAATAAAAGCAAGATATTTCAGGGAAGCTTAGGGCATAAGTTTAGGACTGTAATTTGTGAGTTATTTCGGGGTAAATGCTACGGCCACAAGTGCTGTGGGCTAGTATTCTCCAGGCAAATGGGAAATAGGTTAGGTTGAAATTGGAGATACACTGAAAAACTTCGACTCAAAAAGACAGCCATCACAATTAAAGCCAGTATTAAAAAGAGTAATTGACTGGACATTTGCCAATTTTGAACTAATTAGATTTAGCCTTAATTTTTAAAAGTGCTGGTTGCAGCAAAATGAAAATATCCTTCTTCCATATAGTGAGAAATTAATGTCCCCATTATCATTCGTTTCACATTTGAGCTCTTCTCAACTCAAATCCGTTTAGTTGGTTTAAAATGAATTGATGGTTGCAAATAACTTTGCTGTCAGGAAGACCTCCATCTGGCTCTAAATTAGTTAAATGAAAGGTATTATTCCCACTTTCACCTGCCTTGCATGCTCTCAGTCTTAGTATTAACTGGTTTGAGGTTATTTATTCCTGGAATCAGGAAATTAAACAACAAATTATGAATATCTAATCAAAAGATTCTATTTTCCTAGATTTTGCTTTATGCTTGTGTATGTGTCTGAGTGCATGAGCATGCATAGGAATGCCTGCTTTTAGTGAAACGAGCGGGTATGAGATACATCAGTTGGGCTCTTCCTGTCATTAACTGTAGCAAACCTGCTACTTCAAGTGGTAAATCATGTTGACAGGATGCATTACATTTTATAAGTTTTTTCTTGATTCAGGTCATTCGTAGTTGAAGCACATTTGCCACCATTTAAAAGTGAGCTCTGCAGCATTCCTCAGCCATTGAGACATTTCTCTTGACCTGAAGAGTCAATTTCTCTGATAGCACGGAAAATGTTTAACATGAACAAGAGCCTCTCAACCACTCTTTGCTTTGGACTTCTAACTTTGTTATCCGTAATGATCTTTTTAGAATCGGTGCATGGACGGCCATATCTCATCCAAGGTATGTACATATGAATCTAAAATCCTACGGGTGAGTAAATTAATCCTTATCTTCCTGTTTGCATCATTTTGATTTTTCTGCCATTATTGCAATAATGCTTTAAGATATTAATATAATTTAATCATCAAACATCCCTTTAGTAATTGCTGTTTCAAATTAAATGTAATCTATGATGCTGGTCTTCTCAAATAAATTAATTCCAACCAATATTATACTAAATTAATTTCAACTATGCTTTATTTTTTTCTAATCAGAGGCACCTCTTTCCCATCTTTGGTCTATTTCATGACCAAAGATAGGAAATGTATAAATAGTAATAAAATCCATCCCACATTCTCTGTATATTTCAAAAGTACATCTTGGGGAAAGAAAAATAAGATTTTCATCCAATGAGATTGTTAGTAATTTACTTATGAAAAAAGAGTGACCCAGAGAACGTATCAAGATAGAAACTTATGTTTGAAGAAATTTGAGGGTAATAATGCATGGGGATATCTACCTAGTACTTTCAGAAGGATGAGGCTGATGCTAATACCCACATTATGCATTGACTGTATCTATCAGATTTCTAACCTATTTAGGGACTTATGTTAAATAAAATAATTTAATCTATGACTCTACAAAATATCTGCCATAAAAGTTGGAGAAAATAAATTTCTCCTCTTGTAATATTATAACTTCTATTTATCTTTCTTTAAAATTTTCAGTGCTTTCTGTAGTGAATATAACTCTTGATCTGAGAATCAGGGGAGCTAGATTTAGTGTACTTTATTAGGCAAACAATTTAACCTCATTAAACTTTTATATATTTCTTGATGTTCTAAAAATAGTAACTCAAAATAGTGCTCTCTAATATTCCCTCCGGTTTGAAATTCTAGGGTGATCTCTCATTTAACTGACCTCCTAGTCAGGAAGAGGAAGCTATCATTTACACCTGTCTTATGTAGGAGAACCAAGACAGAATGTAATATTGTTTACATGATGCTGGGTTGCAAAAGGGATCTAGTTTCTCCCTTTTGGATCTAATTCAAGTTTACTAAATTATGTTGCTTTGAATACGGTTTTAAAAGTCAATGAAAATTAGAGCAGTTCTTTTGGCAGTGGAAATAAAATTGGATAAGCCCTTGTTATTTATTTATAGGGATTTTCTCATTAAAAAACAAATAGCCCAAAAGATCTAAATACAAGCCTGGGGATCAAAGATTTGGGGTTTAATCCAGTGCACTCACATTTTGTTTTTGACCAGTCAAAATTGTTGTACTTGGTAGACCTTTGTTGCTCTTCCTATAAGATGATGAGATTTTTCAATGTTCTTAACACTGTAAATGAATGAAGAAAAACGTGGCCATGTATTGAAGACTTTGAAAAATTGAGATATTGGTTAATAGTACCTGTAACTTCTGATTTCATGTGTATATGAAATACAGTAAAATCCAACTCTAAAGCATTTTTGCTAGGTTACAAATAAATAACACCTCTGACTCCAGCATATCACCCAGTGATATACATGTTATCACTGGCAGTATGTTAGAGCGGTTGATCTCAGTTTCATTGTATGTAGATGGGAATATTGAATTATTGGTAAGGTTATTTTCTGATCTAAATGGTCTATGATTGTTGTGAGCCTCTTTCCATGTACACATTTTTCAAAGAAAACAAATATTTGACTTATTTGAGTCTTTTAATACACTTTTTAAAAAAAATATGAATTTGTCTACTGACCAACTGCAAAGTTGGAGTAGCCATCCTTCTTTCTTTGTGTTAGACAATATCTAAGGCAAATGGCACAATCTGCCAGCTTTCATTTGACTAGGCCATAAAAACAGCACACCTCAATGGATAAACTTGAAAATGGGCAAACTGCCTATCACAAAAGGTGAAAGGACAAATATTATGACCAAGATGACTATGAAAGTTTTACTTTTTGGTATATTAATGTTTGGGGGGGTTTCTAGGTTTCTTTCTGACAAAATTTCTTGTATATATCTAATAAAAAGCTTCCACTTAAATGGCAAGCAAGGAGACAACCAAGTCTTTGAAGACTGAATATCTCAAGTAGTAATGAATCAGTATTTTCTGTGTATTTCCAAAAGCGACCAATCTCTGATTTCTGAGTAACTTTGCTATCCTTTGTGTTAAAGGTGCATCTGATGCAGTATTTTTTTATTCATACATTTCCTTTATCAATATTAACTTTTAGTTGAAAGATAGAAACATGTTAAAAGTAAAGTAGTTTTTTCTTTCAAAGCTATATATTTAAAACTAAAAATGAAAACAAGAAAATAATTGTTTTTCCATTATTTTTCTTAGCCAATGTATCATACTTTTCTTCAGAGATTCCTATAAAAGATGGTTGTCTTAAAACATAGTGACAAGAATTCTGAGCATGGTAACGCAGCTGTAATTATTGGAAACGAAAATGGTAAAGAAAGGCAAATATATTAATTTGCTTTTTTGAAAAATGTTTTAGTTAAATATGTGGAGAAATGGACTGTGGATTAAGTAAATAAATGCTTTAAATCTACGCTTTCCTAGTTACCTTCCTTCTAGTCTTTTCAATTCTCTAAATTGAGGGCAGTGAATCTTTCTCTTATCGAAGCTCTCTGTCTGAAACAGTCATAATCACTTGGCTATAAACTATACCTTATTTTTTCAATTAAAACATTGTAAAGATTATAATTTAATATATTAATGTACAACTATAATAAAAATTACATTATTGTATAATCATATCTTTCTCTTAAACTAAACTGCCTGAGGGTCTTTGTATAACAGACTTTAAGCAAAAGTTCCATTGATAGTCTGTTAACATCACAATTACTCAACAGAAAGAAAAATACATAGAATTTCACAGATAATTTCTATGTCTATGAAGTAAAGGAAATTGAACAACTGAGCAACAATTAAGTCTGTTTGGTCAATGCAGAAAAATTCTGTTATCTGCCTAAGTCATCCATATTCTTTGTCAGCAATTCTTTCGTTCTTTTAATTAGCCACTTAATTGTTTAAGTTTATCAATTGACATTTTGTAGACACAAGGAAAAACAAATGTTTCTAAGGAAGAATCTAGTCAAATTATGAGCCATTACTCTAGCTGACACCACAACATTCTCACTCCTAAACTTCGAACTCCTTAATCTAGTTTCTACCCACACTGTATCAGTTGGTATATGGTGATCAAGAGAGAGAAAAATGATTCTATAAAATTATATGATAAAGGTTTGATTTTTTCCAGGCCACCTCACAAAAATTCATTTTGTTTGTAATAAACTAATTATTATTTCAATTGCATTATTTGTTAATAGATATCTTGTTGAAAATTCATGTTTTAAACTCTATTGCCTTGACTTCTACTCCAAAATAAAAAATGTTTAGGAATGAATGGGCTGTCAGGTAAACTGACCAAGATGGAAAGATATCAATATGGGAAAAGCAGACATCCCATACTTTTTCCACAAGGTTTTCTTAGATGGTTTAAAGGCAATACCCCGAACATAAAATGACTCATATTTAAATGTGTATATCAAATAAAATCTCAAAATCAAATTATTAACTTTTTCTTTTAAAAACTTTTAATTTATATTTTTTCTGTTAAATGCAATAGTAGAAAATTTCAAAAGCACAGATGAAAAAGAAGAAAGTAAAACTTACCTGTAATAATCACAGGTAAATGTAAAACTTCAAGGTGTAACCTACCAGGCATCATATTCTTTGTTTCAGCTCCTCTCCCTCTCACAAACAAAATCCCTCTTTGAGTGTTCACATACATTTAGTGATTTTTAAAACAGGCCATCTCTTTGGATTATACACTTATCTTTACACTCCTTTTATTGGTGAATATACTCATTGATAATTACCTGTAAAACCTATTAGAAATATACTCATTGATAATTACCTGTAAAACCTATTAGAAACATTTTAGTAACATAGATTGAGAGTGGAGGTTTCATTATATAAGGGTCATCAATACAGGAAATGAATTGTTTCCAGATAAAGAAGATACAAAACACAAGGAACTCTTACTCTACTGAATAAAAATTTTGATTTTCAAAGACTGTCCAAGATTGGTGAGTTAAAAATAAAATCAAGCTTTATTTATTCAAAAATAATAAAATCTATTCTATTTTCTGACCTGCTCTTTTCTAAATGTTAATTTATATTAAATAAAATAATAACTGCTCCATTTTATGCTGTATTGAAAGCTTAAGTGTTTTCCTCATTTCACATTCACACTAAAAGCAATACACTTATTAAAAATATTAATATCTTATTTTGTTCAGGTAGAGGATCCTAATGGGATCAGTAACCATTCAGTTACAAAATAGTTATCTTTACTTATATTTTTCTCTCATCTATATAACTTCTCACTGGTAAAATTATCATTTTCTTTTACTAAATGCTTCAAGATTATTACTAAATGCTTCAAATTTGTTCATAGTTTTCCACTAGAAATTTCACAAATTAACCGCAGTTTTGTGACAGCTAAATTAACACCCTTTTTAAATCAAATTCTTTCAATTTGGAAAATGGCTGGTAGAGTACATTGGAAAATGAAGGTTACACCAATTGAAGTTTTTTTTTCCTTTGACGAACAGGAGAATCTGATGTACAATTAGGCATCAGACTGCTCTCCAAGAGACAACAGATACTGTCAGAAACTTAGCAAGTTTAGTCTAAGAGAAAATGTGGCATTATGAAAATGTGGTACCCTCTCTGAAAATATCTGAAGTATTTAAAAAGAAAATGTCTATTCGTGGAACAATGTACTAGTCAAAATAATGCCCTAATAAATAATTTAAAAATACAGGGCTTTAAAGTTAGAAGATATTCCCATTGAGGAAAATAAATGAAATTATAAAAAATATAAAAAAAGAAAAATTCATATTTAAATTATAAAACAAAGAGTTGCCATTAATATTATAGGGAATTTCCTTCTCGATTAAATTATATTAATAAGAATTGTGTTCTGCTCTCTTTTTTTCACTTAATTTTGTTTCGTGAGAATTTTCTCTCGTCAGTAAAATTGTTTATTTCTAAGTAATAGCCCTTTATTAACACTAAACTGATCTATTTTAGAAAACTTTGTGCATGTTGGAAACTAGATATTGTCTCATGACTTAACTGATTACATTTTAATATTATAGGAATTGAAAAACATGTGGGGCTTTATATTAGGATGTGTGGGTGATTTCAAATCATGAAAAAGATCTTTGTCTTCCACATAAGATCTAGATTATGTGGTCTGACGTGAATTAAATATTGCTTGCAATGTACCTTTTTCACATGACAAATGTATCTTGCAGATATAGAACTGGCTAATAAATTGGAAGAACTTAACCAGGTGAGTATGTGAAATACTTATGTATTCAATTTTAATAATTATTTTAAGGCAATTACTTTTAATATAATTTTTTAAATTATTAATACTATAATATAAAATTTATAGCTGAAGTTATCCTGGGATAAAATGTCTAGAAATCTGAATTCTAGGCCTAGCGCTCCAATTACCTAACTGTGAGACTATGGCCAAATTAAAACTCTCTGGACCTAAATATCCTCTTTTGTAAAATAGAAGACTACAACTAGATTGGTGGTTTTCAAAAGCTATTATTATTTTTAAAGGTAGAAATACTTTTGCCCAAACAAAATTTTATATGGTCCCAGTAAACGAAGCATATAAAAGCGAAGCTGTTCAGCTCGAAGCAGATGGTGTCGGGGCCTAACGTGTTGCCTTCTTGACCTGCTTTTGGCCTCCTGACAGGGAGCCCCTTATCAATTGAATTCCCGCACTCCTTGACAGTCTAAGAAAGTTTGAAAAAACATTGTATTAGATGATTTCTAAACTATTTCAAATACAACTGCATGAAAATTCATTAATCTACAAACTGTGTGGCTGTTTGGGAGAAAGAATTATAGTCCATCATTCTCTCGTGAGCTGCTAGGGCAAGGACACATGCAGTAACCCCGGCTGGGCTCTCTTTTGGTATGGTTAGGTCTTCAGGCCTTAGGCAATCAGAGAGCTTACCAAAATTAACATGGGCTGAATTCTGGATACAAATTCTAGGGCCTCAAAAATTTTCTCCCTTCATGTTAGAAAGGACAAATACTTCAGGAAATTCAAATATTTGCATAACTCTTTGGAGGTCCTTGAAAAGAACTGCTCATTATAGGTGACATAAAATCAAGTCCAGCTATACAAACTATGTTTATAGGCTCCCCGTTAATTAACACCCAGAGCTGACTTCTTTCCCTCTAACCCTGTTTCTTCCGATTTCCTGTTGAGTCATGTACTTTTCCCAGCCAGTCTATAAATATACATTTCCTTTTTTCTCTAATTCTTTTTGTTTATTTTATTATTTTTTTCCTTTTCTATTCAGTTTTTCTCTTCCACCTTTTCTTGCTTTATTCTTCCTCTTCTTCAATAGAAAACAGCATATTGTTGTTAAAGACTAATAATTATCGTATCCGATTTTTAACAGCTGGAAAAGCTAAAAGAGCAGCTCATGGAGGCAAAGTATGCTGAGATGTCCTATGCTATAGATGGTCTATCCCCTTCTCATTCTAATAAGAGAGGTACGTTTTCATTTCGAAGCTTAAAATTGACTTCTGAAATGTTATTTTTGTAATTACTTCTGAGAAGAGAGACATTAACTTGACATTTCTTAATCTCATTGAGGTGATCAAGATCAAGGTTTATATTTTTAAAAAAGAGTCAAATGAAAGTGTTCCCCTATAAATGTTTCTGAGCTTTGTCCTGTTCATAAAAGTGGGTAGCAAAGGCTCATATTCCAGGTAAAAGTGAAATAAACCCTTACTGTTTAAAATTGTGGCCTACCCTTGCTATTTTGGCCGAAACACTGGAACTAGGAGGATTATCAATAGAAATCATAAAGTTTTTAGCCAATTCAGAATTTTAGAGCATCTTCATTGAAATAAGAAGCCTCGTTGCTATAACACTTGGTCCAAAGTTTCATTCATAACATTTAATTTCAGAAAGACATCTTTTAGATGTTTTTCTGTAACATTTCCTAAGAAATTCTTGTTTCTTGCTGGAATAGTTCTTATATTTGAAAAAAAAAAATATGTTTCTTTATCATGTAATGAAGTGAGATTCTCTAAGACATTTTTTATTTTTACTTGTCCTTCTCCTCTCAGATTTGTCTTTAATATCTGTAAAAATCGATTTTTACAGTGCTAGTAAGAGGAAAGAGGATAAGCTGCTGTTATTTAAACACTTAGCATATATCAGATATTTTACATTTAAATATCTCAAAATATTATGATTAAGCACGTGAATTCTAGAGCTAAACTAGACTGCCTAGATTCATATCTTAACTTTGACATATCCCAGCTATGTGACCTTGTGCAATTATCTACTTTCATGTACTTCATTTTCTTTGCCCCCAAATTTAAATGATAATAATAATCTTTATGAGATGCTGGGAGGATTTGGTGAGTTATATATGAAAGACATTTAGACTACTGTTCAGCATATAGTAAGTACTGTCCGAGCTTAACCTTTTTAAAAAATAATTTTCATCATTATTACTATAATTATTATTTTATTCTCATTATAAACACGGTAAGACAGCTATTACTAGGTTTATTTTATAAATGAGCAAATTACATTTTAGAGGAGTTAAAATATGCTGAAAATAACCCAACTGCTAAGTGACTTAGCTAGGAAGCTTGAAGGAGAGTGTTAGAAGATGAGTTGGGAGGTGGAAGGGAAAGAACCTTCAGGATTTTTAAGGATGTTAGCTTTTACTTGGTATTATATGGAAAATTATCGGAAAGTCATGAGCAAGTGAGTAATATGAAGTAAGTTGTTATAGAATCATTCTTGATGTTTTGTGTAGCATATACTGAAAAAGAGGGACAACGATGGAAGCAATGAGAAATTTAGTGAGGTTACTTTAATAATTCAGACGATAAATGGTGGTAGCTTGGATTAGAGTGGCAGTAGTGAATTGATAAGTAGAGGTCTGATTCTGAATATATTTTTGAACAAAAAAGTCAACAAAATGTTCTTCAGTATTACAGTGTAAAAAAGAAAGGCACATTTTAAAAATGACTCCAAGATTTTTGAGCAACTAGGAAAAAAGGGCAATTCCTATTTATTGAGCCAGGCATAGATAGAGGGGAAAAACTTTTAGTGGTAGAGAAAGGTTAGAATAAAGATTTGTTGGACTTTGCCATAGTCAGTGTATCCTAGGCTATGATGTGTTACCAAGTTTAATCTGAATCTCAGAGGCCTAATATAATGAAGTCCAAATATAAATTCCAATGAATGTAGTACAATCTTCTTATATTTTGTGGCTATATCATGTAAAATACATCTTGCCTGCCCCCAAGATTGCCATGACAGAGGAGAGAGATAGAGGACACATGCCAGTGTGCCAGTTCACAACTGCCTCAGTTCACAAAAAAGTCATCACTCTGCTGAAGTCCATTGGCCAGATTAGTCACTTGGGCTGCCACCAAAAACACTGGCAGGACAGGCTGAAAGTCTAAATGTCGGGAAGTACATATAATACTTGGGAAGCACTCCCTCTACTACAGTTAATGCTTTGATCTTTTCTTAAACAGACAGACTCTACTCAAGCCATTCCCCAAATTCTTTTCCCTGACTGCACGCAGAACAAAGAACAAGCTCTCCAAAAGATACTGACTAGCTTTCATCACATACAACATGACTCCTCTTTATTCACAGACCTCTTAGATGAAAGGACCTGTTATTCACCCCACACAAATCCAATAATTAGCAGAAGAACAGGGACAGGATAATCACAATTAATAATATTATCATAAATGGAAAGAACAAGAGACGCACAACATCTAGAATGCTGGCCTCCACAGTTCTGAAATTCCCCTGGGAAAGTATTGAAAAGATTTTCTACCTTGGGGATGGAGAAAGGTTTCTTGATTAGGGCTGATGGTGTCTAGGAGTTCTTTGCCCATTGTATTGTTTCTGCCAGCTCCATCCTTTCTGAGATTTTTGCTTTTTTCATTGTTATTCCTGGACCCAGCTTGTGTGCTACTTGGCTGTTATTTCCTCCTTGAGGATTGCACGTTTTTCTTGTCTCAGCCTACTTTTGCAAAGTTGGAAGCACAAAGTTTATTTTGTCTCGAAGTGTCAAAGACATTTTTACTAGGGTTTTTTTTTGGGGGGGTGCGGAACAATAATGTAATTTCAAAATTTTAACAAGCGTCTCAATTATTTACTATACACAAAGATTAAAAAAAACTATTTTATTTATTTTTCATTCTCACTTCCAACTTAGTAGCAGTTACCTTAAAGATTGCATACTGAATCTGATTTTTGCCCTTGGTTCTTTTATTCCAGCTGATATTTACAGAGCCTCTGTCACTTAGAGTCATTTCTAATCCCATTTTACAGTGTTTGTGACTAGAAGCAGTTAGCTCTTTCAACACTTCAAGACCTTGTATTCCTGAATTCTATTCCCTTTGTATTTGTGTGCAAAGACACCATTTCTTTGCTAAACTCATCAACTTCTTGCAATACCTTGCTAAATATATCCAATATCAACCTAAAACTACTGCCAATATTCTATTTTCCGATCTTTTGCCTATATGTTAAAGAGGAACATAATCTCCATCGGAACTGTGGTAGATGTCAGCTTTACCACATATTTTGCTACTTCATAAAATGGCTCTTCATTTTTCCAGACTATCAATTTCCTGTCTGCCATTAACCAATTGCTGAGACTGTGCTACAATTTAGGTTCTTTTTAGAGCAGCACCCTATTTCAAGTTATCGTGTTGTATTTTGTAATAAATTAGGCAAACCACATTAACAAAATAACCTTAAAATCTCAGTGATGTAATTTGCTTTAGGTTTTATTTTGTGTTAACATGAAGCCTTATGTACATTAGTCATTTTTCTTCTCTTTGTGCCTACACATTTTGTCCTTGTAGCAGGATAGGAGAGAAATGGAGGTAAGCACACTCTTAACTGCCCAAATTGGGTACATGATCTCAATATAACTTAACAGGGTTGGGGAAGTACCTGGGAAATGTAGAGAAGCACAAGGATTAGTTGGAGTGTCCTATCTATCACAGACATTTTGGGCTTGTTATGCCATGTATAACAAAATCTTCCCAATAGTGATTTGAGTACACCATTGAACATATAAATTTGGAGTTTAGGGAAGCAGCTCAAATTGGAAATATAAGTTTGACAGTTATCAGCAAATCAATATCGAGTGGTATTGTGTTGAGACCATCTAGGGAATGACTAAACGAGAAGACATTCTAGGCAAAAGCTCAGACAACTGCAAAGTTTGAGATTGGGCAGATGAGAGAGAACCTGCAAAGGAGGCTGAGTAGGAGCAGCTACCAAGGAAGGAGGTGACAAAGAAAGGAGTGCCCCAGATGTCAAATAAAAAAAATCTGGAAGAAGTAGTTCAACTGTCTCTAAAGCTATGATATGTCCTGTATGATGAGAACTGAGACTTTCCACCTGAACATCAAGGAAAAAGTTATTAATGGCTTTGACAAGAATTGTTTGGCGGACTTTTGGTTAAAGAGAACATGATAAAACAATAGGAACCACTGACAAAAGACAGCTTTTGAGAAATTTTGTTCTAAAGGTTAGAAAGGATTGGGATATTAGAGTAATTTGAGGGGAACGAGAAAGCTATTTGTTTGTTTTTAAGCAAGGAGATATTAAAACATATTTGTATGTAGTAGGAACAAAGCAAATATTTGTGGTGATAAACATACTAATTAGATGCTCAGATTAGATGACAAAAACAACCCATATTATATGTAGTGTGGTTCTTTTGGCATAACTAGAAACTATCTACCATGAATAATAATATATGAAGATGAAATGGACCCAGAGATCGAGCTTAAGGCAACAGTAACTTAGACTTATGGCATAATATTATAATTTGCTTTAATTATTTAATATGCAGTTGACAGACCCTTGATAAATGCTTTCATTCATTAAATATATAGCTAACATCTAGCATCATGCTTAAAACAGGAGTAGTGAGTGAACCACGCAGACTTGAAGTAATACCAGAAAGCTGGCCATGATTTTCCTTCACATAAACCATAGTGATAGATAAATATTGATGAGTTGGATCTACTGGTGATATTCATGACAGTTTCCTTTAACCAGGTTTAAAAATGTTTCCAAACTATATTCCATTGCATACTTAATTAAGGTGTTCATGTCATGTAAGTCTTGGATGCTCTGAGTATATTCGTTTACCAGACTGAGATATTCAAAGATATCCAAAGGAACAGAAAGGGCAGTGATGATAATTTTCCGAAGCACACTCTGAAAAGAAGATTGGATCAGAGAGGCCAAGCTCTTCTTCTGTTTAATTTCTATAAATAAACTTCTCTTTTCATAGGATTCGAATGAAGCTGTGGCTCTTGTAGAAATGAAAAATAGACTCTATGTGCTATCATAACTCTGTGTGTGTAATCGTTATCAGCATTAACTAGGGTCACAATTTGCAGAGTGAATGGAGTTAGGGAGGGAAAGCTGGGCAAGCTGATACACTAGCATTTATTTAAAAGAGTATCTTAACTGTACTATGAGGGTTTTTTTTTTTCTCTTTTGCATTATGTATACCATTAATCAATAGTGAATCAAAGACACATCTCCCCAAAGTTTTAATTTCAAAAACCATTTAGATTGAAGGAAATTAGAATAATTTATAATTAGTCAGATGAAGCTACTGTAAGTTAGGCAATTGGAAACAACTTACAGAAGATTTAAAATGACTTATCCACATATTTGAAGATTAAATGCTGTTAGAATTGGTTTGATTTTTCTGAAATATCATTTTATGATTGGAATGTGAAGACTGTGACAATGTGACAATCAAATTACTTAAGTATCATTTGGCGGTTTGCAAAGTGAACTTCAAACTCTCTTCCTTCTTTTTTCTCCAATAAACAGCACATTTATTACTTTTTTTAATGTATGTGACTTTTTTCGAGATTTCAATTCTCCCCCAACTATAAATAGTAGAGTGCCCCTACTGTAACATGTATTACATGTATTATAATGTACTGAACTGTATTACATGTATTATAATGTAGAACAGTGCTGTCCAATAGAACTCTCTGTATTGATGTGAGCATTCTGAATTTGCACTGCCCATGATGGTAGTCACTAGCTACAGGTTACTTAAAATGTGGCAAGTATGATGGTGAAGAGAAATTTTCAAATTTTATTTAATTCTAATTAATTTAAAGATCCACATGAGGCTAATAAAAACTGCATTGAACATCATTTTTACATAACTTTCTCTTATTCAGGCACACATATTTTATTCATATCTAATGTTTTATCAAGTATCCTCCTAATAAAGAATTTGTTTTTGTGTTCTTTTTTAGCTTGCTTTTGGAAGTACTGTGTCTAAAGTTCTTTTTCTGGATGCAAAAAAGATAAGAACATTAGAAAAAGACATACATCTCTTTACTACTTAAAATTGCAGCTGTTTAAAGAATAAAGAAACTGTGAATAGTGACAAAACGGTTGCACTTTCAATGGCATGGGGCTATCAAAATGGCTTTGCAGAGTTAAAGTTGAGAGTGCTATATCTATTGTATGCTTTCCATAAATTCATTGTCTACATATAGTTTTGTCCAATGATGACTATACTGTTAAGCTATCAGTTAAAATATTTTTAAAAGCATCTTGGAAAATTAAAGTAAACTATATTGTCTCAATTCTTGTGGAAAATATGCACCATGTCCTTTCTCTTTTTATGGTTGTGCCAGCTATTCTCTTTTTTGTGAATCTGGACAATTATCACTGAGACCACTACAACCAAAGGAATTCAATACTAGGGAGTAGAAATGTATTATTGGACTCTGGAGAAAGCAGTACTGGATGTCTCAGAGATAGATATTAAGAAAACTTTCTTACAGAGCAATTGATCTTTGACTTCTTAATTCTCATCTCTGCCTCCTCCACAACATCAAAAGCTATTTGAGACTCTCAGCATGCGTGTAAGAGACTAGATTCAGTGTGCTAAAAAACAACAAACAAAACAAAACAGAAACTCATTGGCTTTTCCTTGATTTCTATTTTCCAAATCTGTATATCAGACTGCTCTTGCTTACATCTGAACAAGCTTATTTAATCAGTTTAAGGCTGGGAATTAAACTTCAATTTTGTCTGCCACCTTTGTTGGCACAGAAACATTGTCAAAGTAACTTTATAATTAAGGAATATTAAAGACTAGAATATCTGGACAGATGAGCCTACGCACATGCTCTTACTTTATAATATGGTGAAAATGCATATTATCTACATAATATTAACTGTGTAGTGGTTAAAAATAAAACCATCTCATAAGATAAAACGAACAATATTGCTTAAAATGAAAAAAAAAAAAAAGTAAAACAGACCAAGTTGAGTAATATGCCTGTAGCACTATATATATACTTGTTAGGAGCCACTCAAATGTACAAGTAAAACAGACCAAGTTGAGCAATATGCCTGTAGTACTATATATATATACTTGTTAGGAGCCACTCAAATGTACATAAGGATTAGTTGCTCAATAATGCCTAAATGCTCCCATGTATTTACGCCAGTTGTAAACATAAACATAATATCATAAAGAAAGACAAAAACATCTGTTTTCATCATCTCGTGTTTATTAACTTTGGAGCTGTTGAACAATATTTAAACATTTTGAAACTTAAAGATAAAGTCACTCAAAAAATCTTTTGACACTTCTTTCTGTTAGAAAAATCCATTAATTTTATCTTTTAATAATTTGCTTTAAGAAAATTAATTCTCTAAAGCTATCTGCAGATTAAAGGTAGCATTTGTTAGACTTTTTTGTAGTATGAGTAAATCTTAAGACAATGTTGTCAGGAATTAACATCCTATCATTAAAAAAATTGATTATGTATTTGATGCCAGAACCCAGAAATCCATATTCACAATTTGCTCTGTGAAGCTTCACACAGGAACAAAGAAGAACAATAAGGTAATATATTTCTTTGAAACTAAATGAAAAGTCCCTTCAAGTTGATTACTTCTCAAGGAAAAATAGTAGAATTTAGTATTATACAATACATTGGACAAATAAATGAGATGACTCGTCATATTCTTAACAAAAGTTCCATCTTAATTTTCTGCTATGTTAAAAGAATGTCTTATTTTAAACTACTATGCTACTGACTTATTTTCTATTCTGTGTAAAGTGGTAAAAATTAAAATATGAAATAAAATAGTTACGAGTGGAGAAAACTTTTTTCTTCATGAAAGTCTTATATATATATTATTTATGTGAAAATGCATTACACACTAGAATAGAGAATAAATCAATATATTGTGACCTCTTTAATTAAATTGGATGATGTAAGCATATGAATTTAAAAAATAAGGAAGATAGGAAATCAATTTGTTTAATCCAACTTAAATCTTCACCATGAGAAATTTTTAGGCTGCAGTAGGTTCGAATACCTTTTGTCAAAACATGAAGCAGCAGAGCCCAGTTGGATTAGAAGCTTATGAATATTCAAATGGGAGAAACAGGAAAGAAAGCACTTTCAAAGAACAAGACACATTTTTATAATTCATCAGAAGGTTAGGGAATTGTGAGAAAGAAAAACTATAACTTCTTAAATAATTCTTTTAAACAGTGAGTCTTGCAAGATATTTGCCCATGTACCACTACCAACTTTCTAACGCAAGTTTATGAAAAGCAGAATTGGTAAGCTTTCTCAAAATACATTTCTCTTTACTACAACCCCACTATCATAATTAGAAGAATCATTCATTTACTGTTTTTTCCTAAACTTGAAGATTTTCAGCAGTTGGAGAAATTTTCCCCAAACTAAGAAATTATATATAAAATCACCCTGTATTCTAAGTACATATGTTTATTTTATGTTTCTCTGAGTTTATTTTATTCTTTGGATTGTACCTTTATTAATTTTTAGTTAAGATTAACAACTACACATTTCTCTCCTCTTTTTATAATATGAATATACCATCTCACAACTCTCTTCATTTTTATGCTAAAATAAAACTTTACTCTTCTGGCCAGACTTTTTTCTTATTACATATCGGATCTGTTTGACAATGATTACTGGGGTTTAAAGAAATATTCCACAGGATTTATATAAACTTCTACTAACTCATTTTAAATATCTGGTCTAAGGAATAAGTTATCTTTGTGTTTTGAAAGCATATCCAATGCACAATGCTTAAATTACAGTAACATTACAGTTATTGCTAAGAACTGAGTTTTCCAGAATATCAAACCTTATGCTTTGATAGATCAATTAAAATAATTTGAATCATTTCATTCTTTTTTCCACCTACAGCACCCACTCTTCCTAGGTGGTCTTCCATTCAAGTACTAACCAGGCACGACCTTGCTTAGTTTCTGAGATCAGACAAGATTGGGTGTGTTCAGGGCGGCATGGCCGTAGATCTAATTTGAATCATTTTAAATAAATCATTCTCAAATACATCATATTGTTTAATGCCTTATCAAACACAGTATATGAAACAGATCCTACAGCACCTACTCTTCCTAGGTGGTCTTCCATTCAAGTATTAACCAGGCACGACCTTGCTTAGTTTCTGAGATCAGACAAGATTGGGTGTGTTCAGGGCGGCATGGCCGTAGATCTAATTTGAATCATTTTAAATAAATCATTCTCAAACACATCATATTGTTTAATGCCTTATCAAACACAGTATATGAAACAGAGTAAACAGTTTCATAGGTGAGTCAGTAACATCAACAAGATTGCTTATGGTACTATGCTCAAATTTATTGTGCCAAAATTATGTGTATTTAACCAGCCCCAGACTGCTGTGGTGATCTATTACCTTATGAATCTTTGACTTCCCCATACTTTCATCTGTTACTTCTGTGTGTAGTTTTCATAATCAGCCATTGCTGCCCTTATAACCATCAGTTATAATTTAGAGAAATGGAAAATTATTAGGGAACATGGGATATCCAAGCTTGACAAATGAATAATAACCTTCACTTTCTAATTCTAAGTCAATATGCTCTTACCTGCAGGTATTTTTTCAGGTAAAATTTATGGACATAATTACTGTTGTTTTTACCTTGCTCAGAGATCTTTTTCTAGAACTGGGGCTATGCTTAATTTGGTTGAAACTGACTGAAATTTGAATATAATAAGAGAAGTCTAATTTCATAATTATTACCCAAGAGGCCCACAAAGTGTAAGAGAGAAATGAAACTATTCAAGAAAAAAATACACAACATTGTCTTTTCTTTTTCTCCGATAACGAACAGATTGTACCTAAGTTTTACAGATTGTAACTAAGTTTTAAATCAGTCTTCTGTTATTGTTCAACCACATAAATGTAAATGGTAAATGCATGTAGAAAGCACTTTACTGCGTTGTGCTTTTTGACTGTTCCTTAGAAAAGTAAGTTTTCAGGCCGAGTAATCATTCCTGAATAACTAAACAAATATATATGTATTTTAAAAATATTCACACATTGAATGATCTGCATAATTTACTTGAAGCTGTAACAATACTGTGATGTGATGGACCTAAATTCAAGCTTTGGAAAGGATTTGCAGAAAGCCAGTTCCTTAAAAGTTTAATTATTAAGGAGTGTAAAGAACTTCACTGAAGCATCTTCATGTTTCTGTGACATTTCACCCAAGGAAGTCACGTCTGCAAAAATGAAAATTGAAATTGTTAAAGCTAAGGAGAAGTCTGTAGATAAGGGGAAATTCATCAGCTTCAGCTGAGAAAAGCTGAAAGTCTAATTACTTGATTACAGCTTTTATTTATGCAGCATATTTTATTGTAAAGACAATATGCAACATGATCATTTCTGTTCAAAATGTATTAAAAAAGAGCATTTTAAATGGTAAACTAGGTGCTTGTGCTTAAGCCACACTTTCTTTTTTTGAATACCTGCTGTAATTTATTTCTTTTGCAATTTCAGTCTTGGTTCAAAGAATGTTTCCATGACAAACAAAAGCAAGAAAATCTGACCACTATTTTCTGTTTATTGTTATGATAACGTGTTGATATTTATTGTATACTTTGCTTCGTTTAAAGGGTCCAACCATATAGTTGCATTTAAACATATTTTTTCTATTTGAGAATTATATTAATTTATTTGAATGACGCTGTGTCAATATTGTTCTAAAATAAAAATTGTTGGTGTAATACAGCAACATGTGTGTCACATTATTAAAAGTCTTAATTCATGTGGCAGCAAAGTGTAGCAAAATTAATGGTCATATTTTGACCAAATTTCATTAAGTAGGCATCCTGATTTCAATGGCAGAGACTTAGAACTTGCTACTTGTTTTACAGAATCTATGTAACCTAGACAAAAATACCTCTCTAAATTTGAGTTGCTTAGAACTGAGGCCTATTAACTCAAAACTTTGGTCCAGTATGTTAATGATTTGAAGAGGATATTGTATAAATATCGAATTATTGTCTTTTCCAAAATACATATGCAAGAAGAAATGAGTATTTTGGTGGTGGTGGGGAACTAGATAATACACATCAGCTGTTTTTAGACTTGACCTCAAACAAAGCAAAACTTCCTCAATTAATATTAGTTTCACGTTTAGCATAAAGACTTACAGTGAAACCCAGAAGGTGAAAACCCACAAATAAACCTGCTCCAAAAGGATATACATCTTCTCCCATAGAAGTGAAATAAAGATTTTCATAAAATCTAAGATACTATTTCTGTTTGTTTTAGAGATATATAATCAGCAATGAAATAGAAATGGCAATTTAGCACCTAGAAGACCTTATGGGTCATAAAGAGAATATTGGCCTAGAAGCCCAGAGAGCTGCATAATTGGGGGCAAATCAGTTTCCTCTGTGTTTTCATTTGTTAAAAAAAAAAGGGTTGGATTAAATGAGACTTTGTGTTCTTGAATCTATAATGATTTAGTTTCATGACTGTATGAACATTATTTAATGACTCAAGTTATCTGTTAAGTGATGCATATATCACCTATTTAATCCAAAGAAACATCATGACATTAAAAAACGATATACCAAAAATGATATTGAAAGCTTGAATGGTAATTAGAAATATATTTTTATGGCTTCTATTGTTCATAAACTATAAAACATGAAACTTCACATGAGGAAGTAAAAAAAAAAATCTGAGAAATCTTGGTGATAGTGGCAGGAAATAAAGAATAGAAACAATGGTTTA